ATAGTAAAATAAAAAATCCGCACTCGCTTCCGATCCGCACTCGCTTATACCGACTAAGACTGAAAGGCTGAAAGGAGGCCCACCTAAGCGAGCCGACGATTATCGATAGCTCAAAGCTCGAGTTTAATAAACGGCACGTCTTTGAAAGCTTCTTTATTAAGAACTAGATAAAAGTGTTATTCGCTTTTATAGCCGCTAAGATCGCTCCTTTAAGGATGGAGCTTTTAATCGTTTGTTTAATTTAATTTATAATTTGATTGCTTTTGCTATTTAAAATCTTTTAATCGACGATTGCGTGCTCGTATTTTTTTGTATTATTATTATACGCTTTTCTCACGTCTTCGAACGTAGCTTCGCGTAATCGTCGAAGTCTATTAAGATCGTCGAAAGGAGCTCTTAAATGTCGTTTATCCTATGCTTCGCAATCGCGTTTTTAAGCTTAATAAAAGTAGTTATTAAGCTTTATTATTATCTTTATAGCAATCTTTGCTTTTAGTTTAATCTGCTTAAAAAAGAAAGCAAGTTCTTCGATGCTTATATAAAAAGATGCGTATTCTTTTATATTAAAGCACTTAATACAGTATTTGTAATTCGTAATCCATTTTAAATAATTGCTACGGCTTATTAAAGTCGTTTTATTTATTGAAAGAACCTCTTTTATTTTATCGTTCATAATTATAGCAATTAATTTGTAATTAAAGCTTTCGAAATCGATTAAAGTTGTTAAAGGTGTTAGTTGTAAAGAATGTATATAATTGAAAAAAGAATAGATTGCAGAAAAGAAAATTATAGCGAAGTAGCGTAAAAGTGACTTACAAAATCCATTTTCGATAAATTAGAAGGTTATTAAAGACTAATTGAATAGCTCGTAAATGCGAATGTGGCTTTTAATTATAATGCTAACTAGTATTAAGATCAAAAAGAGATTTTGCAGATTGAATAAAGCTTGATATATTCTAATTAAGAAGCTCGTGAAGATCTATATATATATACTTAAAAGCTTTAATGCGCTAAGGGGGCTACTAGGCGAGGTTATATGACATGTAGCTTGGGTGGAACCTTAGGCATGCCTGTTCCGTACAATAATAAGTCAACCGGCCAGCTCTGGGGGGTGTGTCGTGCGGGAATATAAGGGTTATAAGACTGGTTACTGCAATATGCATTGCAGGTCTGCTTTAGCATTTTGCACATCATTAATGCTAATAATAATAGTAATAATAATAATAATAATAACAATAATAATAATAACAATAATAATAATAATAATAATAATATTTAAGTAATTCGCGAAAGGGTCTGGGACTTCCTTAATAAAAAAGGGGGTTTTAAGGGGGTCTCCCTCTTATAATAAATTATTAAATATAAGTAATTCGCAAAAGGGTATAAGATTTCCTTGGTAAAAATGGGAGTTTAATAAGGTCTCCCCCTTATATTAAATTATTAAGATATAAGTAAGTCGCAAAAGGTCTAGGATTTCTTTATTAAAAAAGGGGTTTGAGTGTGTCCCTTCTTTGGATTAAATTATTAAATATAAGTAATTTGCAAAAAGCTCTAGGATTTCTTTATTAAAAAAGAGGTTTGAATGTGTCCCCTCTTTAGATTAAACTATTAAATATAAGTAATTCGCGAAAGGGTGTGGGACTTCTTTGATAAAAGGGGGGGTTTAAAGGGGTCTCCCTCTTATATTAAATTATTAAATATAAGCAATTTGCAAAAGAGTCTAAGGTTTCCTTAGTAAAAAGTAGGGTTTAAGGAGGTCCTTCTTTATATTAAATTATTAAATATAAGTAAATCGCAAAAAGGTCTGAAGTTTCCTTAGCAAAAAGGGGGGTTTAAGGCGGTCCCCCTCTTATATTAAATTATTAAGTATAAGTAATATGCAAAAGCGTCTGAGATTTCCTTATTAAAAAAGGGGTTTGAATCTGTCCCCTCTTTAAATTAAATTATTAAATATAAGTAATTCGCAAAAGGGTATAGGATTTCTTTAATAAAAAAGAAGGGTTTAAAGGGGTCCCTCCTTTATATTAAATCATTAAAATATAAGTAATTTGTAAAAGTGTCTAAGATTTCTTTATTAAAAAAGTGGGTTTAAAGGGGTCTCCTTCTTATATTAAATTATCAAATATAAGTAATTTAAAAAAGGGTATAAGGTCTTCCCGGTAAATTTTTTTTTAAAAGGTTTCTTCTTTAGAATAAATTATTAAATAAATTATTTCTGATATTAACTACCTTTATATTTATTTAGTTTCTATTATTATTTATTTTATAATTTACTTAAATATATAAAGATTTTTATAATCGAGTAATTAGCCCGTTGATGACAATTACAAAGAACTTGGTCCTTTGCCCTGGTAAGTTTAAATAAAAGTCCGATCTTCTTATTCTTTGCTTATTTTAATATATACGCGGCAATTTTAATATATACGCATTATCAAAATGGAAAAGCATATTTTAACAGTATTTTTCTTACTACTTTAACTCAACATAATAAAGGAATAACAACCTGTAATTAAAATTCAATTTCGTTAATTAATGTTAAACTCAATAGGGTGAATTTATCTATATAAAAATAATTATTATATAATAGTTGGTTGATTTTTTATTTAATTAAAAGGACTCGAGCAAATTTTATTGTCCCGCTTTAGCGGTGCCGACCTAGCTGCGTCAAGTCGGGATTTTTCATAAATTAAATTTAAGGTAACCGACGATTAACTTAAAGGCAGGCAAGGGGTCATTTAAGCGGTTCTTTGACCTTTTTTTATAAAAGATGATGATTAGATTATTTAAAATTAATGTTGATTGTAAATTAAAAATAATTTACTTTTATAATCATCCCCGAGCTTAGGACCGTCTTATGGCCGTCCCCGTCTATATTTTTAAAGCAAGCTTACTAATAAGATCGTTTTAAAAAATCGAAATAATATGATAATTATTTTAAAGAAAGTATAGTTATAAATAAAAAAAATTTTTTACATAGAATCGTTTTAATAATAAATTAATTGATTCGATGCCAAGATATTTCTCGGTATCGCTGCTACGGCTTATATATCAACGCTTTAAATTTTTTATCATCGAAATCGATCGATTTAGTAAAAGTTTACCCGCGTACATGCGCTTTTACTATTCGCAAAAAAAGTGGAGGGGGGCCGGAGCGAATAAAAGGATGGTGCAATAAAAAGGCAGTAAGTATACTTCATAAAAGATAGCCTGCTAAGTAATTGCTAAAAGAATAAATCATTTGCTTATTAATTAACCTTTTGCGAAACGAGTTTAAGTTCGGAGACGGCCTTAAGACGGCTACAGAACGGCTATAACATAATCTTAAAACGGTCTTTTCGTAAAAAGACCGACTTTTATAAACGACGATTTAATCGATTAAAATCGTTTTATGTTAATAATAATCTTTTAACGAAAAGACGAGTATTTAAAGAAAACGATCTAATCGATTGAAATACTTTCATTTTAGCTACGATTTAAAGGTGTGTTTAGCTCACAGTTGCAGGTCCGTGCAACTGAGCAGTTAAGTTAATCTTAAACAGGATCAACTCAACTTGATAGTAGAAGTTGCACGGACTAAGGCCTGTTTAGCTCGCAATTAACAAATTGAATAGTAAACTGCAATTTAAGACTTAAGAGAAAAAAATTAAATCGTTATTACAACTATGAATTATTTATTAATATAATAAACTCGATCGAGTATTTCGAAATTTAGCTTTGCGTATTAAAAGGTCTTAAATGTATCGAAATCCTTCCCGAATAACTCTTCAGTTATTCTTGATTCGTAGTCGGTAGCTTATAAGAAGCTCTTTTACTTATTAAAGGCTTGTCAGATCGGAAGTATATTAAAGCGTTTTTGCGAAATTGTTTTTATAGTATTGAACGGCGGCGCAAGTTTTAATTGCAGCGACGATAATTCTAATATTGCGATTCCGTAGATTGCGCTTTTTTAAAATAGTTTTCGGAGACGGCATGATGAAAAGGTTGCGTGGTTAAGAATTATTAAAAAGAAAAAGAATATAAAATAAAAAGAGGGAAGGGGGGAGGGAGGGCGAAAAAAGCTTGCAACTTGAGCTTGCAACTTAAGACTTAAAGCTTTTTGCTTAAAGTCCGATTTGCATAATGCAATTGCAATTGCAAAATCAAATACACACTTTGCAAGATTTACGTGCACGAGCTATATAGATTGCTTAATTCTTGCATCTTGACCTACAACTTAAAGATGCAAGAATATTTTTGTAATGCAACTTAGCTTGCATTTCCGAGCTATACACACCTTAAATAATTTAAATCGTTTGTTTTCGGATTCTATCTAATTTTAAGTATCGGCTTAAGGTGATCCACTAGCTATGCCAACTTCTTAGAATCGTCTTTTAAAGAGACCGTTATCGGATTGTCAGCTGACGGTTTAAATGACCCCTTACCTGCTTTTAAGGTACGTAGGTTTAAGGTTACGTATAGTAGCCTTAGGTAAGTTACGTATGGCAGAATTAATAGCGGTAACTAAATCAAGCTTAGCTATTGTATATAAATTAACCGGGCCGACCCGTTTCGAAAAAAAGTTTAATAGATTAATATAGAATAAAAGTCTCAGGCTTCAGCACGCTTAAAAATCTTATTAAACCGGTATAAAATAATCTTACGTAATTAGATAACTAACCACCATCACAACTACTAGAACTTATCTTGGGTCACCGTTAGTAACAATAATAATTGCTTGATTTTTTATTTTTTAAAAAAGAACAGATCTAAGATTTTATTATCCCGCCTTAGCGATGCCGACTCAGCTACGTCAAGTCGGGATTTTTCACAAATTAAATCCAAGGTAACCGATGATTAACTCAAGTATTAATTCGAAAAGATTAAATCTAAATAATTTAACCGCCCTTTTCACACCCTTCACACTCTTCACACCCTTCCACCTTTCCAGCCTTTTAACCCACCCTTCCATCCCTCCAGCCTACCCTCCCACCCTTTCAACCCACCTTCCAGCCTACCCACTTTCAAAAAACCACCTTCCCCGCTCCAATCTCCTTCCTCCCCCCCTTCCTCCCCTTCTCCTTCTCCAACAACGCACTCGTGACCCTCTCCGACGCCAACCGACTCCTCTTCCGATACTCCGTCCAGATGGCATCCAGCACGCTCAGCTGAAAGGCCAGCGACTCGTAGCCCTTCCGATCGAGCTCCCCCGTCGACTTGTCCAGCACGTTGTAGAACTCGACCCAGCGCGTCTTGCGGTCCTGCAGGTGGTGCTGGGCCAGGGTCAGGCTCTCGATGGTGGTCGCGCTGGCGGCCCGCACGTTCTCCATGTCGCGGCCCTCGAGCGAGTAGGCCGAGTGCAGCCGGCTCCACCAGAGGCGGGTCCACCACCACTGGGCGCGGTAGTCCTCGAGGCGGTCGCGCGCGATGTGCTGCATGACGCCCGAGAGGGCGTCGAGGGTGGTCTGGGTGCGGAGGAGCAGGTCGATGATCTCCTCGATGAAGGCGATCAGCCGGTCGATCTGGTCGATGGAGGCCGTGGCGAAGGCGGCGTAGTCGGTCTTGAAGGCCGTGACGGCGCTGCCGCGGAAGCCGTACCAGCCGGGCGCCAGCGTCCCGATGCGGCGGCGGAAGAAGCGCAGCGTCGTCTCGATCATGGTGTACGCCGTCGAGACGTGGTACTGGAACACGATCAGATCCTCGGCCGAGCTGTCGAGCGTCGCGATGACGAGGGCCAGCGGCTCGATGGCGGCCGCGTAGCGCGCCTCCAGCTTGACGTCGGGCTCCCACTTCCAGTAGGCGTGCAGGCGCTGGTACGGGGCCCGCAGGAGGCGGAGCTCGCGGCCCAGCTTCTCGAGGTCGGTGGCCTGCTGCAGGGACTGGTCCCAGAACTCGACCGAGGCGAGGCTCTCAAAGTCGTGGAGCAGGGTGTGGGCCTGGGTCGCGTTCAGCTCGAGGATCGCGCCGGGGGCGGGCGGCCGGCTGCCCGCGGGGTCGGGCGGCGCGTAGATCACGCAGAGGCGGAACAGGCCGCGGTCGCAGCTCGGGACGAGGGGCACGGCGCAGAGGCCCCCGACGACGAGGGCGTAGGCCGGCAGGCCGATCCAGCTCACCCAGCGGACGCCCGGCACCCGCGTCAGCAGCTGGTGGACGCCGACGCAGCCGGCGTACCCGAGCACGACGAGCAGGTAGAAGTACTTGACGACGAACCAGACCAGGCGGGCGACGCCGCGCGTGACCCAGCGGCCCAGCGGCCCGAAGACGTAGTACGCGTCGCGGATGTCGCGGCCGACGTCCTGCAGCGCCGCCTGCGCGAGGGCATAGAGGGCCTGCGCTACGCGGGCGACCGCGCCTATCAGGATCTGGACGTGGCTGCTGCGCGGGCGCCAGATCAGCCATCTCGCGTGCCATCGCTGCTGCTGGCGTTCGAGGAAGAGGCGGAGCCGCGGAGGCGGGGAGGGGGGTGTGGACGGAGGCGGCGGGGAAGATGCGGACGGCGGCGGCGGGCAGGATGCGGACGGAGGCGGTCGCGGCAGCCGGGTGCGGATCGTCGAGACGGACGAGATGCGCTGGCGAGAGGGGATGGGGACGGGTAATGGTTGATGGTGGCCGTGGCCGTGGCCGTGGCCGTAGCTGTGACTATGGCCGTGATCCTGACCTAGACCCGGACCCGGACCCGGACCTGGACCTGCCCCTAGACTTAAACCCTGACCCCGACCCCGACCCCGACCTTGCCTTGGAGCTGCCGCAGACGCAGAAGCCGCAACGGCTGCAACGGCCGCAGCAGCACAGACGGCCCCTTCTGATTGTGCGCGACCTGGATCCTGTCCGTAAGCGGGCGTCGCGGGCAGCCGAGTGAAATTGTAATGATCGTCTGCGGTAAGCGCGAAGGAGGACGGTAGTAGGCGTGGAGGTGGAGGTGGAGGCGGGGGTGGTCGAGGAGATGCAGGCGGTGATGGGAATGGCGTCGTCCGATACAGATGGCCTCTTTCCGTGTGCACATGCCTACTCTCCCTCTGCCTGTGTCTGCCACTGCTACTGCCACTTCCATTCTCACTCCCACTCTCTTCACTCCCTTCGCCTTCTGCACTCTCTTCTCCTTCTGCATCCGTATCCACATCCGCCAGGTCCTCCCCTTCCCCTCCTTCCTTCTCTTCCCCCTCCTCCTCCGCCTGCCGCCAAATGGCCGCAATCCTCTCATCTTGCTCAGCGATAGCCCGCTGGATCCGGGCCTCTTCGTCCGCCAAGTCGCTGTTCATAATGATTGGCGGTATCGCGGGGCGGGGCTGGCTAGATGGGCTGGCGAGATTAGCTGGCGGGATTGGCTAGCGAAAAGATTTAGATTGGCGGAGCTGGCTGGACTGGATTGGCTGAGCGGCACGGCGATAGCGTGATCGGACCAATCAATCGAGACTGGAAATGATGGTGCTGGTAGAGCGGATAGATTAGTTGGTTGGGTACGGACGGTACTGAGTGCGGGCTTACCGGTACTTGCTGAGTCGGTCGGTCGGTCGGTGGTCGGTCAATGGTCTTTTGATCAGTGGTTATTCGGTCCGTGGTCGCTCGTTCAGTGGTTGCTTGATTAATGGTCGCTTGATTGATCAATGGTCTTTTGATCAGTAGTTATTCGGTCAATAGTCGCTTAACTAGTGGTCGGTCGGTCAGTAATTGCTTAATCAATAATCGTTCCATCAATACTCCTTCCGTTTGCACAAAACATCGCCAACAGCCAGCTTATTCACACATCCAACATCAAACCAAACTTACCAGCTCTGATAAATAATCCAATCCTATCCCTTCTTATCTTCCTCTTTCTTCTTCTTTCTTCTCCTCTCCTTTTGTATCCCCTCCTTTCCTTTCTCCTTAAATCAACCCGTCTCGTCTCGTCTCGTCTCGTCTCGTCTCGTCCCTTCCTCTTCTTTATCCTCTCACCAATACCTCCAGCTAAATCGCCCCACGTAAAAGCAAAGCCAAGATGTAAAGCCAGCAAGCGAAAAAAAAAAAATGATTAAAAAAAAAGAAAAAAGATGAAAAAGAAAAGAAGAGAAGAGAAGAAAATGACGACGGAAAATAAATACTACCAGCGAAACAGAAAATCTTCATCGCGCTACCGGTACTTATCTGCATGTATCTATCTGTTTGCGCGGGTAGCGGCCGTTGGGCGGTTGGTTGGTTGATTAGTTGGTTAGTTAATTGGTTGATTAGTAATATTGTAACGTGACGTGACGTGACGTATTGCTTATAGTACCTATTGCTATTGCGTGTTTGCATATTAGGATTTATACAGCGATAAGTAAGAGGTTGAATAGAAGTGTAGAGGAAGAAGAGGGTGTTTTTGCTAGGCTGGGCTGGATTTATTTGTTTTATGAATTATGATAGGGCTGTTTTTTTGCGAGGGGATTAAGGGGGTGGATTGCGTGGTTGAAGGGTGGTTTTTGAGGTTGGATGAAGGGCTGCGAGTAAAGTGAGGTTAGTAGGATTAAGTAGGTAGGGAGCGGAAGGCGAGAATTTAGGGAGTTTGGTTGTGGAGCGCGGATGATTGGTGGTTTGATAGTACGACGGTTGATGGAAATGTAAAAAAGGAGTGTTCTTGCTAGGCTGGGTTTGTTTTATGATAAGGCTGTTTTTTACGAAAGGATTAATGAATTGTATGGTTAAGGAGTGGTTGTTAAAGGTTGAGAAAGATATAAATAAAATTCGTAAAATAAAATAGCGGAGAGCGAGAATCTCAAGATTTTAGTTATAATGCGCAAATAATTAATAGTTTAATAATGCGACGGTTGGTGGAAATGTAAAAGAAGTGTTTTTGCTACTTTAACGGCATGTAAGGGGCCATTTGAGCGGTCCTCGGACCTTCTTTTATAAAAGAAGGTTATTGAACCGTTTAAAATTAACTAACTATAAATCAAAGATAATTGACTTTTTTAATCGTCTTCGAGCTTAAGACCGTCTACGGTCTTACAGGCGTCTTCGTTTATATTTTTAAGACATACTTATTGATAAGCTCGTTTCAAAAAAATAAAATAATTCGATAACTATTTTAAACAAAATATAAACATAAATGAAAATCGTTTTTCAAATAAAATCGTTTTGATTTACAAAATAATTCGATTATAATTTCTGATAAATTATAATCACGATACAAAAACACGTTAATTAATAATATTATTTCAAGTCGAAAAACAATTTATCGATCCTTATAACTAAGGTATTGATATGATTAATAAATGTTGTGCGGAACTGGCATGCTTAAGGCTCTACCTAAGTTATATCTTATATGACTTCGCTTATTAGCGCCTTTGGCGTACTAGAGCTCTTAAGTATACGCTAATATATTTTAACGAGCTTTTTAAATAAAATAAATTAAGCTTTATTTAATCTATAGAATTTTTTCTTAATCTTAATGCTAATTAGCATCATAATTAAGAGCTATATTCGTATTTACGAGCTATTTAATTGGTGTTTAATAACTTTTGAATATATCGAGAGCGGATTCTGCAAGTCACTTTCACGCTATTTCGCTATAATTTTGTCTTTTTCGCAAAATTTTTTTTTATTATATATATTCTTAATAACTAATACTTTCAAGAACTCCAATTATAATTTAAAAACTTTAGTTATGAACCAATTGCGTTAATTATAAATAATATTGTGACGACACGCCAGGTCTCTTGGACGCACCTTATATGCGCCAAGCTACTTCCTTCTTTTTTTCTTTCGTATTCTTCGTATTCTCTTATTCTTCGCTTTTAATTTATAAACTATAGTTCACGAGTCTTTAGCGCTTTTACTTTCGTGTATATAAACCTTAGCTACTTTTAACTTTTATACTCGATAATTGTTGATTCTAAGTCATTACTTTAAGATTCTCTTAAGCTTTTATATAAACCTTCGCGCTTTCGTAAGTTCTTTTAAGTAATCGCTTAAAGTCGTTATATTATCAACAACTACCTTACTCCGCCGAGAACGGCTTTAATAATATTTTTCTTTTTTAAAATTTTTTAATAATTCAACGTTAAAACACTTAAACGACTCTAACGGTTACGAAAAGTGTGACGATACGCCAGGTCTCTTGGACGCACCTCACATGCGCTAAGCTACTTCTTTCTTTATTTTTTTCGTATTCTTCGTATTCTTTTATTCTTCGCTTTTGACTTATGAATTATAGTTCACGAGTCCTTAGCGCTTTTACTTTCGTATATATAAACTTTAGCTACTTTCGACTTTTATACTCGATAGTTGTTGATTCTAAGTCATTACTTTAAGATTCTTTTAAGCTTTTATATAAACTTCCGCGCTTTTATAAGTTCTTTTAAGTAATCGCTTAAAGTCGTTATATTATTAATAATTACTTTACTCCGTCAAAAACGGCTTTAATAATATTCTTCTTTTTTAAAATTTTTTAATAGTTAAACGTTAAAACGCTTAAACGATTTTAACGGTCACGAGAAAGCTTATTTTAAGTATAACTTGAAAGATAGCACTTATATAATATAATAACTTTCGCCCCGCGAGTAAAATCTTTCGTACACTTCTTAAAGCTGCTTTAGCAGCTCTTTCCTCTTTTTTTACGGCTTAATTAATAGTTCTTTTTACTTAAGAAGAAGCTATTAGTAAGCAAGATGATGAAGATGATCTTTCGGCTTTTATTAATTTTAAAAAAGCTTTGGCTTAATATTAAGCTTTCTTTTAATTTTAACGAAAGGCCGTTAAACTTGAAAAGCTTTTCGCAGATATAAAAACCCGTAACGAAGAGCTCGATAAAAGCGCTAGCGAGCAAAAAACCTTCGCTAATAAAGCTTAAAAAAAGGCTTGTCGAGCTCGAAAAAAACTAAACTAGCTTTAAGCGGTCTTACTAACTACGGAACGCCTGTCAGAGCCTCTTTAAGTGTCTTTCGAAGATAACTTTAAAAGCAAAGAGTTATACAAGCCTTCGGTCTTTTAAATTATTTTTTTTACTTATAAAACCGCTAACCTTCGCCGCTTTTTCGCCGACGACGATAAACTACTTTCTTTTTATAAGCTAATCAACTTTCGCACTTTAGTTAAATTCAATACTTTTAAAGCTTTTTCTTTAGCTTTTTAAAATCGCGCTCGTATCGAACGGATCTTTAACTTTAAACAAAAGCTTTTAAACGGTATAATCTATCGAGCACGCTATTAGCAAGCTTGCGTTTTCGATAACTTAAAAGCTTTCGAAAAATACTTTTTTATAAAACGCTAACGCAAGAACTACGTTTTTAATTAAATTGAAAAAACAACTTACTTATTTTTAGCTTTTTTAATTATAAATCGTAGCAACTTCGTAACCGCTTCGGAACTCGTTTAAATCGCTTTCGAGTTTTTAAACGACTTCGTTAAAAAAGCTAAAGCGTTAATTAAGTTCGAAAAACTTTATATAAGGCTTAATTAGCAATTCTAAGACTTTTACTTTGTTTTCTCGAAGCTTGCTGCTACCGCCGAAATCAAAGACGAAGACCGATTACGTAAAGCTTTGCGTTTTAAAATCATTAAAACGCTACGCGACTAGCTTTATTTAGAATTTGCTAAAACTATAACTTTTAAAGACTTTTAAACCGCCGTCCAGCAATTAGCTGCTAGCTAATACGCGTTTATAAAGCTTTACGATGCTTTATAAGCTAAGTATAATACTTAATTCGTAAAGAACTCTTATAATAAAGCTCGTAACGAATCCCGCTTAACTTAAAAAGCAGCGGTCAAGCAAGTTATTTATTACGAGAACCGCTAAAATAGCTTAGCTTCCGTCTTTTTTCTTACTTTTTAACGTTAAACTTTTAATAGCTTTAGCGTTAATGCAGATCGATCTAATCGATTTAACAAATTCTCTTTTCTCGAAAACGCTTTTAAATTAACGATTAAAACTTTTAAATCGTTTCGTAAAGACTCGAATACGCCGAAGCTCTTTCGTTATTATTTAGTTAACGAAATAAAATACGGCGCTAGACTTAAATACAGCTTTTATTCGGACGACTCGGACGATAAGCTTTACTTCGACGCTCTTAAAGATTACTAAGAGCTCTCTTTTGCTAACTCCGACGCTTTCGATAATAAAAGAAACGTCGAAGCTTAAGCAAAGCTTTCTTTTTAAGCTAGCTTCGAAACATGCGATACCTCGACTTTACGAAGCTCTTTAATAATAAAGCTATAATTATATCCGTCATTTTTATTAAAAATAGCTTTTCGTATAAAGTATTTGCTTTGCTCGACTTAAAAGCTAATAAGTACGCGCTAATTGATTTAACGCTATTGAAATCACTTTCTTTCTTTCTTAAACTTTTAATTTAACCTTTCTCGGCTTTATTTTTTATTAAATTATATAATAAAGCTCGTAAAGCTATTATTTTACATTTTATACTTCTTAACCTTACGATTAATAAGCGCGTTTAATCTTTTATTCTTTTTCTTATTACTAACTTTAAAAATCATAGCGTAATCCTCGAGCGCGCATAGCTAGCTAAGCATTAGATTCTTTTTAATTGCGCTTACCGAAAGCTTTATTAACTTCGTTTTAACTTTTCGACCGTCATTTACGCTAAACTTATTAAGATTATACAATTTAATTAGCGCAAAATAAACGCTCGTTATTAACACGACGCTAATAAGCGTGATCGAATTTTAAATCGCTTTTAAAAAGCTTACGACGCTAATTCACTCGTAAACTATAATTCACGAGCGGATTAAGCAGCAACGATAATCGCAAAATCACTTTTTTCTTTTTAAAATCGTTTTCTTTCCGCTTCTTTTTTTAAGATCGTTAAACCCTTTTCTTTTATTTACTTTCTCGTAAAGCCGTTACTTTTTCGCTTTACGAAAAACACTTTTTCTAAAGATTACGTTAAATCAATATCTTAAATAAACTGTAAGCTTGTATTAATAAACGTCGCTTTCGACTTTTTAAATATCTTTTGCACGATATACTTAAACGATATTTTAATTTACTTTTCCGACTTTTTAAAACACGCTTACTACGTTCGCTAAGTTTTTTAACGACTCGACGACGCTAACTTTTAAGCTAATATTAAAAAGTGCGAATTTAATACTATTAAAGTAAAATATTTAAGCTTTATTATTTTTATCGAAAGCTTAAAAGTAGATCCGAATAAGACTTCGATAATAAAGCATTAAGCGCTTTTTATAACCGTTAAAAGCGTTTAAAGCTTTTTTAGATTTTATAACTTTTACCGCCGATTTATTCGAGATTACGACGTGATCGCAAAGCTTTTAATACATTTGATTAAAGCTAACGTTCT